GGTTTTTTACCTGTAAATCGTATAATTTTCGGTACGATCCATAACCCATGTCTTGTAGCGTCGTTTATAGCACTACTCTCCACGCCCGTACACTTAGTTTAAAAGTATCTGTCAGAATAACTGGTCCATTTACCTGGATATATAATGCTAAAATCACCTTATTTTCAGCTTTCCAAATATTCGTCAAAAAAGTTTATTTATTATCCTCTTTCCTTTAATTTAGTGCTTTGCATTTAACCACGTAAATAGACAAGTAATAAATTATTATGCGTTTTGTGCTGTGTAACAGCAGTACAAAACGCATTATGTGTGTGTGTGTCTGTGTCCGAGTGCGTTTTGTCCCGCACTTTCAACTTGGAAACCACAAAAGCTAGACGGCTGAAATTTTAGTAGAGTGTTCCCCGCCAAGTTTTGACCCCGCAGATTTAAATTCAGCCTTTCCTTACCCGCGGGTAACACATACGGCCCCGTAAAAGTTTTGGCGGGTAAAATCGTTATCTCAAGAATTACGGGAGCTAGGAGGCGGAAATTTTATAGGTATGTCCCCTGATCACGTGCGACCTAGAAAACTCAAACTCAGCCTCCCCTTGCCCGCGGGTGACAAGTACGGCCCTGTAAAACTTTTGGCGGGTAAAGTTATTATCACCAGAACTATAAAGGCTAGGAAGCAGAAAATTTTTCGGAATGTTCTCCATTCAGGTGTAACCCCGCAAATTTAAATTCGGCTTTCCCGTACCGGCGGAACATATACGGCCTTGTGAAAATTTTTGGCGGGTCAAGTATTATTTCGGGAACCACAGAATCTAGGAAGCTGAAGTTTTAGGTAATAACCCTTTGCTCACGTACGACTTCGCAAATTCAAATTCACTGTTCTCACGCTCTCGGGTATCACCTACCGACTTGTGGAACTTTTGGCGGGTAATTTGTCTCGGGAACCGCGGAATCTAGAAAGCTGAAATTTTGGGGGACTGTTCCTTGCTCATGTGCGACTCCTCAAATTTAAATTCAAATCATTGAAAATCATTAGCAGGCAATCGTTCGGTGGACAGATAATAAATAG